GGAGTGCATCGCATGAACGGCTGCCTCACGTCCGCTCTTAAGACCTGCGCACACTTGTAGCGATCCACTGGCATCAATCACGTCGGGCTTAATCACTTTCATAACACATTTCCCGACAATCCTCCTGATAACTTCCCCGACGCCAATTGGACGAACCGCGCCCTCGCCTTTGTCAAGAGGTATAAGCCTGTTGGCTAATATAGGCTCGATAGTTCTCGGGTCAATGTATTCCGTACATAGCCGCCGGATCATTGTTGCTACTGCCTCACACAAGTTTACGCCTGATTTCTTAAACGATTTACATGCGAAAATACGCTTGAATCCATTTGCATCCACTCCTGAAGGGCCGCCGGAGCCCTTGGTTCGCAATGCTGTCTCGCGTATCATTTCGCCATCAATCTGCTGATTTAACGAATCGTGCACTTCCTCACATGGCCCGAAGAGTAACGAGCCAAGTTTGGCCTCTTGTGCCTCAGGGTGTTTCTCCTGAAGCTGTCTCATCACGTCGTCAGTCAAAGGCAGCACTCCATCACAATCAGCCTCACTGAGATATCTCAAAGCAGAATTGAGATATCTCAAAGCAGAATTGATCAGACCTTCCATGACCAACTTGGCGAATATCTTCGCTTTATTTGGAGGCTCGTTCCTTTTAGCCTTTGCTAGACGCTTTTGAATGGACCGGCCTTCACGAAGTAAGCTCTCGACTTCTCCTTCTTTCCATAGCGCTAGTCGTTTTTCCAAGCACTCTTTGTGATCTTTTGCCTTCGATTTTACGCTTGGCTTTTGCAGTGCCGTTGCCAAGAGAACAATTGCAGCTTTCAGCGCTATGTGTTGTGTTTGCGATGCGTTGTTCCAATCGTTTATATGTTGTGTTCGCTGGTCGATAAAGTCTCGCCCAACTTTGCCATACGGGACGAGGAAAGTATTTTTACGCCATCGCGTAATTTCATCGTATGCATTAATTATGGTTGACGAGTAGACCGTAATTATTGAGCCGTCCGCTCTGCGTCCCCCAGATGGTAATCGATGGTATATCAACAGCAACATAGTCGGGTAGACGTCCTGCTTCATGTATGCCGGCGTGTGGTTCACCAGGACAGTCATTAGTCACTTCAAAGCCCTCTACAGCTTCGGTTTCTTGCCGTTCGTGACTGTTTTGGACAATATCATTGTCTGTATGCAAATCCAGATTGCTGTTTACCTCCAAATTTGCATTTTGACTAATGGTGTTTTGATTTTCAAAATTGTTAAATTCAAGTTGTGAAATCGTGTTGTGCCTTCTCTGGTTTTCATCTAATGTCTGCTCTCTTTCGTCATTGATAACCGCTCCGCCGCTTACCTTACCGATAGCACGAGTCTCAGCTGTAGCGTTAATTTTCTCAAGTCTAGCGGCTTGATCTCGCAGGTTTTGGCTCTTCAATCCAAGATGTTCGTATCCTTTCTTGTCCCACAGGTCTTTCATAACTTGTATATAGCCCTTCTTTCTGCCGTTCACATGGCATGGCGGGTTTTCCGATTTAAGGAATTCCATCGCTTTCTTCTTACATTCTAGCAGATCTGTATTCATTTGCTCTGTCCATTTTAATTTCGATCGCTGCTGTCGCGACATCGTGTATAATAAATATTTCTTGAAATCGACCCAATAGCTGACTAAAACACCATCTTCTCCAATACACAAAATTTTCCTTTCTTAATTGAGCATCAAAATTGAAAAAGCATTCAGGTTTCCAAAGAGCAAGTAAAAGTTGATAAATCTATCACAAAAGGTTTAAAATAAATGGAGTTTATGCCAACCCCAAACTTTGCTTTCCGACGGCCATGTTGTAATAATAATAATAACTAGAAAATACATGCATGCAGAAACCCTCGCCTTGCTGACAAAACCATTGTATTTTCCAAACATGAAGTATCCAAAGTTGTTGTCATGGTAATAACACGAGAATTTTTTAAGAATATTCTTACAAATGAAAAATTGCCTAAAAATATCAATTTTAATTACAAAATTATCAATTTCCCAACATATATTTGTTCGGTATGTTATTATACGTAATAGAAGCTTCAATTTAAGGTAAAATTCAACCACAAAAGCTTCGCAAAACGTTTTAAAACGTTCTTTATAAAACTAAATTGCCTGGCTTTAATTAAATGGCTTTATCGATAAACTTTGAGTTTGCAACAAAATGATTTCAAATTCTCGCATGCAAATAACTTTGCTTTCTTTTTAGTAAAAAAATTCAATATAATAAAAAAGGAATCAATATTAATAATACACTGAATTGACTGAAATTATATGCTGTCTTGTTTAGTTATTTCATATACGCAAAGAGCCAAAGGCCGTCGGGTTTTAAAGCAATTATAAAATCAATATTTAACACAAACTTACCTTCGTTAACGTCGGCTCCCTTCTTTTAGCCGATTCTTTCGCCGTTTCTATCTTGAAATTTACAAAATCTTGCAAAAATGCGAGTAAAATTGAACTGATATTTGCAAGAAATTTATCAATCATCAAATTTCTGTGATCAAATCAAGAAATGTTTGCTATTTCGCTGTCGTCATACAGTCGTTATGATGCAAACTTTAAATTGGACCAATCAGTGTCCGCTATTTATGACAGTCCGCCATATTTTTGAGATCAGTGACGATGACCACCCAATCAACACCGTTGGTCACCCACGGCCGCGATACTTGATGAACTTTAGACTCCGCTAATGCTTTCGTTTCCCCGGGTGTAAATAGCCGGGGGGGATTAGTACCCTCGCACGGCGCTTCGCGCCGTCGGCTCGGGGATAATAATAATAATAATAATAATAATAATAATAATAATAATAATAATAATAATAATAATAATAATAATAATAATAATAATAATAATAATAATAATAATACATGTAGAGCCAATCAGAATTTTTTTTTACGTTTGCAAATTTACTTAACTGAATAATTACATTCGTTTACGTCCTTCGGTGCATGTTAACTATTTAACAGTTATTCGACAAACTCGAGTCGAATATGAGCTGATAGCCGATGAGGCGCGTAGCGCCGAATTGGCTATCGCTCATATTCGACGAGAGTGAATCATCATCATCATCATCAATCAATTTTATTTAAAATCAAGAACACGCTAGCCTCGCACAACTAAAAGCTGATTTACAGGAGGGGCGTGATATATAAAACAGTAGAATATATGGAATATTATATGAACCCCCCAACCTCCCCCAAAACAACAACAAATTGAGAAAAATAAAGTCAAGTAAAGTAAATAAAGAGAGTTAACTATAATTAAGTCAACATGGTTCTAAAAGGACAGTTCCGCAATACTACGCTTAAATTGACTGAGCGAAGTCGCTCTTTTTGCATCTAATGGAAGATTATTCCACAGCATTGATGCGCTATATTTAAAGCTTATCTTCAAAAAATTAGTTTTTGGTTTTGGAAGTGCTAGATCCGTTTCCTGATTTCGTAAATTATGGCGTCTATTAAGTTGACTAAGTCTTACAAGGCTTTCTCTTAAACATGGCGAACAATTTTCATTAAGGATTTTATACATTAGGATACTCTTCAACTTAGCCCGCCTAACATGTAGATTATCCCATCCTAAACCTTCCAAAAGATCACTTGATCTAATCCTATCATCATATCTTGCTCCAGTGATAACCCTAGCCGCACGATTTTGTAATATTTGCAATTTATCTTTTAATATTTTATCGCATGTATCCCACAGGGGAGAGCAATAATCAACATACGGTTGAATTAATGATTTGTATAATGTAACAAGAGAGGTCTGCGGAACGAATGGTTTAATTCTCCTCAATGCTCCTACGCCTGAACAGATCTTCTTGCATATTCCTTCAATATTGATGTCAAAAGTCAATCTCTCATCAAGATCAACTCCCAAACATTTATTCGAGACAACAGGTGAAATTACGTTATTGCTCATGATAATGCTGTTGTACAATTCACCAACTTTGTTGGTCAAATTTTGTTTAGATCCTATGACAATAAGCTTAGCCTTAGAAGGGTGAGATTGGAGTTTATTTACATTTAACCAATCTGTGACATTTTCTAAATCAGAGTTTATATCATTAGCCAGCGCAACAGAGTCGTACGAAGAGGCGAAAATTTGGGTATCATCTGCGTATAGACAGGGTGTTGTTGTCTTTAGACAGTTGGGTAAATCGTTGATATAAATTAGGAACAACAACGGGCCAAGTATGGAACCTTGTGGAACCCCGCAAATCATTTCACCTTTATTAGAGAGGCAGCCATTTACTTGACACTGTTGTTGCCGATTTGAGAGGTAGGATTTAAACCATGCAAGTTCAAGTTGAGAAACGCCATAGAAAGCTAGTTTTTCAAGTAGTATAACATGATCTATTGAATCGAAAGCTTTTCTGATATCAAGGAAAACTGTTTTATTATATACACAAGGTCTGAATGGACAGACTTTGCTTTTAGGATATTTTCAATATTTTTCTATTCTGTTTATGTTTTTATCTTCGCTCTTTCGGCCGATTATTTTTTTCAAAAATATATATTTTTAACCATTTTAAATTTTAAAAATTCATTTGCTATTAAACCTGTAAACAATTTGTGGGAGTCTTTTCATTGTGTTTTTAATCCTGTAAAGGCTATAGAAAGCGAACAACTTGCCGTTTTCTCGTTCGCAAACGTCGGAAATTCTGTTTGTGCTGCCATTTTGTTTTTCTCTACTAGCAAGATGCGAGCTAATATCCTGCTAGTATAGAGAACCAATCAGATTGCAGAAACCTCATATCCAGACCTCTTGTATATAATAATTGGAGTTATTGATACCGACTGATATCTAACTGCTGCAGCCATGTACTCACTATTGATGCGTTTTTGTTTATAATTTCCATGGTAACTATATAGCCTACTGTAAAAGCGTAAGATTTGAGGCTGTTTTTCCTCACGTCTCCGTACAAGGGAGCACGCCAGAAATATTTGTGTAAATTTATACTAACCTTTTAATTTACATGTTTTCAATTTTCATCGGGCGCCATTTTGAATGTTGAAAGCGGTATATAATAATAGCTTATCGCAGGCGCAATAATTTATGTTCATCTTTGACATTTAACAAATATAAAACATTTTCCGTTATATACAGTTATATCAACACGAGTGGAAATTGGGAAAACGAGAAATTGTGTTGATATAACTATATATCAATATGGAAAAAATGTTTTATATTTGTTTTATAATATAGCAATGTCAAAAGCCCGAAGAATAAGAACAATTTCCGTGTTACAAGCGGCGGAAAATTTCCCGTGTTGACATGGAGTTATATCAACACGGCTCTTAGCCAATCAGCGTTCAGAATTTACAAATGCTATATTATAATAATTTATGTTACACGATGATTCTCCGAAAGGCGACCGAGAAAGATCCGAAATTTAAAATAAGGCGGAGAAATAATAAAAAATAAAGAGGGGAGTGAAACGGCCGAACACGTGATGGGGTATTGGCCAATGACAATGCGTATATCCAATTTCGTTATCTGGCCATGCTCGTTGACCAAGAACTGTCGAATCTGAAATATATCAAAACTTGAATTGATTTGCATCGTTGCTCGCCAGCAGTGAATTTTCGACAGCAGATAAACAAATACGTTTGCGAATGCTGGACACAAAATACAGTATTGATAATTCATGAAGGAAATGTTTAATCAATGTATGTAAATCGATCGGATAAAAGATTTGTAAATTGTCCTCATTTACATAAACTTTAGCTTCGATTTTCTCGGCTTAGACAATATTTATTTTTAAAATTACTTCACCAATGAACTCGTATGATGGGTCGTCTTTTAAGCACGTTAAAACATGAGCAGCCGATGTTTATCTTAAGACTTATATACAAACTCTCGCCATTGTCCCCAATTTTAATAATATATTTTAATGTGACTCGCTTGAACTAATTATAGTAGGTCAAATATAAAAAAACGGTAAATCCGAAAATAATAATAAAAAAATTATTTTCGGAGTTACCGTTGTTCTTATATTATATTAAAATACTCAGTGGTTCCCGTAATAGTAGGTCTCATTTTGTTTCCGGTTTGTTCCTAGCAACATCAAATGTTCCTAGCAACAGTCAACCAGCATCAGTGGATAACATTTCGGCCGTTTCACTCCCCTCTTTATTTTTTATTATTTCTCCGCCTTATTTTAAATTTCGGATCTTTCTCGGTCGCCCTTCGGAGTATCATCGTGTAACATAAATTAATGTCAAAGATGAACATAAATTATTGCGCCTGCGATAAGCTAATATTATATACCGCTTTCAACATTCAAAATGGCGCCCGATGAAAATTGAAAACATGTAAATTAAAAGGTTAGTATAAATTTACACAAATATTTCTGGCGTGCTCCCTTGCTCCGTACTGCACTAAGCCTTGCTTAACTTTACTAATACTTAAAATAGTAAAGTATTAAATTACTCTGGGATTAGGTATATACAAACATAGAGAACGCAACAAAACTGCAGCTTACCCATTTGAAGTGTGGCGCCATCTTCCACCAAATTTTCGGCTATCAGTTTCCCAATAGATTTTTCCACATTATTTGGTT